AACATGGCTCTCTGTGATCAGCAGCTCCACCCAATTGCACCTTTTACTTACACTTGATGTCTTGACTGAGGTTATATTAGTATTAAAATAAAGATTTTCTTTCCCAGAAACTGTGAATAGAATGCATTAGGTATAAAAATCAAAGGACTGCTATTCCTGTTTATTTCATTTTGTATTGTAGCTTAACAGAAAAGACAGTTTTGAAGACAGACTCAAGCTGTGCTGTCCTTTCACACATGATAATTAACTGCCAGCTACTGTAACTGCCATTTTATATGAGAGAACAGTTTTGATTACTTTCATTATTTTAATGAACATCAAGACACACACTACCCGTGAAAGAGCAGCTTAAAAGCAAGAAAAGTCACATTTCTTGTGTGTCATCGTACCTGATGATTATATAAGCCTATAATTAATTTTTCACAGTAAAATTTCCTTTTCCTTTTTCCAAGTGTCTCCAGAAGCAATAGGCTATGATGGTTATGGAGGTTTTATCCAAAATTACCCAGATTGATTATATGTTCATCAAATATATTTTTTTTATGTTTAGCGCTACATATTAATAAAATCATGCTTGAATTAGTTATTGTTTAGTGATTCATAGATAAAACTTTTTGTTGTTCTGATACGAGGTGATTTATAAGAGGGACAAACTGACTTTATGAAAAAAAAAACATGCCAAGTTTTTTATAATAATATGCCAAGAATCTAGGTCAGTGAAAAATTGATAAATACTGTTTTTCATGTATTTGGCTGCTTTGATATTACAGTATATTGAATTTTAGCTTTTACTAATGATTATGATCAACTGTTTTTCTAACTTTTATTTGACCTCCAGATGTGTAAATATTGTGGGAAAAGCTATGAAAAATAAATATTCAAAAATAACTCTAAATATATCAACCTCTAAAAATGTAATTAAGAAAAGCAGTTTGTTTTTTTCTTTTGAACTCTGGCTTGTAAAGAGATTTTCTTCTTGCCTTGTGGCGACAAGGATCATCTTGTTGAAAGATTATGGGTGAAGGATTAGATTGACACTGGTTCTGCAGCAACAAAAAGTGGAGTATAAAATTCAAAAAGCAATCGGCAAAACAGGATAGTAAACTTGCCATCCA